CCCAAAGAGGAATCAAAAGAGCTATGCTTGGAATATCACGCTTCATTCAAATGAAAGAATGAATCCGAAGTTCCAAACTCCATCGAAGGTCAAGAATCAGGGATACTGTCTTATTTGCCAAGGTGTCGAAAATAAGATAGGCTGGACACATAATGAGATTTGGAGATAACTGCTGGACTAGAGCCATTACCTACTGATTTCCACGGGATGTCAAAAGACCACGTGGAGACATTACTGGGGCCCGCTCGTGCAAATCGATGAGTAACGGGATGTCAAGTTATCAAATGATCTGAAGTACCTATTAGTTTGAAAGCATGACACTTGGGCAAGGGGGAACCACAGAAAGATTAATAACCAGGACATCATGTGGGTGACAAGTGAGCTGAAGTGTGACGGGCTGGGTTTCTGTGTGGACCAGTTGGGCAGGTTATGCTCAGTCCTTTCAGCATCAAGCCATGGCCTGAAAGGAGGACATACTGCTGGAGAAGGGCCATGAATTTACCTCCATTCCAACCCTTGACACCTGGTGTTGGTTTCCAGGGAGCACCAAATCAGCTCTTTCCTCATGAAAGAGCTGTCCCTGTGTGCTTGGGATTAAATTAAAGTCATGCAGAGGCTGCCAGGTGGCAGGAATCCTGAGCTGGGTTTAACCAGTACAACTGAAAGATACAGGCTCAAGGAAATTGAGGGAACTCAAAAGAGATTAAAGTGCCTACCATGGGGTCCTAGCATGAGCCAAGGGGGGTGGGGGCTAAGAGCCTGATGAGAGGGGCCGGAGAAATAGTAGAGTAGGGAGGGCGTTTGCCTTGCACCTGACTGACCTGGGTTTGATCCCCAGTATCCCATATTGTTCCCTGAGCAATGCCAGAGCTAATTCCTGAATGCAGAACTAGAAGTAACCTCTGAGCATCGCCAGGTGTGACCCCAAAAGCAAAATACTATTAATAAAACCTTTTAAAAAATTTTAAAGATGCCCTACACCACATGAGAATGGTGTAGGGCATCTTTTAAAACTGGGAGTTGTGGGAATGGGTAGGCAGCATAACTGGCCAGAGTACGGAAAAAAATCTGGGAGTTCTCCCCCTAGGTAGAACGCCCAAAGTCCATAAAAGTGGAGGGTTTGAGTGGGGATTAGGGTTGCCCTTCTCCTTGTTCTTTTGAGAGGTAACGCCCTTTGTGGGATTTCTCACCTAACATCTAAATCTGGAAGGAAAGATAAAAGCGTGTGTCTCCAGCAGAGAAGAACAACACTACAAGTAAGTTAACTTTTGGGTGCCTCACTGGTGGTCTCAGGTGTCCTCTTCTCTCAGAGATCTTGAGAAGAAACAGCATTTATTGGTGCAGTAGAGAAAATAATGAGCAGAAACGGAAAGTCCCAATGTACTCAGCCTATGTAGGAACTGATCCTTAAGCCCTTGTAGACTTGTAGACAACAAATTTCTCCTTTCCCTGCCCCTTCTCCCCTCTGGGATCCCACTAGTGTTCTCTCAAGGATCCCTGGAGGTCTCAGAGTTAGAGCTTAGAACAACTTGTATTTGTTGCGGGATAAAATTTGTTTGCATGAGCATGATCAATAAACTTTATTCACTCAACAGACCTCCCATTTCTTCTTCTCTGAGAGCCTCCATAACTCCACATTTGAGTTGGTTTTGTGAGTTCATTGACTCTTTTCTGCAGAGCTCTCATTTTCTTCAATGAATCAGCTTTATTCTATGGAGTTTACCATCTCTCTTTTCCCCATGCCCTCGAAACTTTCCCATTAGAAAGAGTAGAGAAATAAATGATTGATAATATAGCACTGACCTCTTACAAGTTTCATCTCTTCAACAGCAGCAGACATACTCATGCTTTTTCTGGACCTCTGTAAAAATCAAGTTACTATGTATAACATCCTTGGGTCAGAGCCTGGTACATAATAAAATGTTAGCTATCATCAACATGACTATGAACTAACAGATTGTCTCATTAAACAATCAACACCAGCTTTACTGTCTCATAGCTTTTGGTTCTCCGCAGTTAATTAAGCTCGTCCTCACTTGCTCGTCTATTTCTAATTTTGGAGAAGCACTTAGGAGACTGTGTTTAACACATCCTATTGCTTCTTTCCCATCCCCAAATTAAGGTTCTTTGCTTTTGTTTAGGGGGCCAACCTGTGGTGCTCAGGGCTTAGTCCTGATTCTGCACTCAGGGATCACTTCTGGTTGGGCTTGGGAGATCATATGTAGTGCAAAAGACCAAATCCAGGTCAACAATGTTTAAGACAAGCACCTACCCACTGTATTATTGCTCCAGCCCACCATCCCCAACCATAAACTTTGAGATTGAATCAAGACTTGTCCTTTCCAATGGTGGGCAAGCTGAGATTCATGCTGAATAGAGTGAATCATTTATTTCTTGCAAAGAGGACCAAAAAAACCCACAGAAGTTAAACTCTTTCCTAACGATACACACCTAACCAGTAACACTGTCTAGACTCATTCCCATTTTTGTGGCTGAGCAAAAGATTCAATGTGTTTTCCCTTATAGAGAAAGTGCTACAAAAACCAAACAGAAAATGCACAAACAACAGCAAGACAAAAGAAAAAGAAAACATTTCCTGAAAGAGAATGCTTTCCAATTCCATTCTTCTTGTTCTCAGTTTGGGGATTAAATCACACCATTCTCTGATCAGAGAATTTAATCCACACCATATATATGAGATTAAATCGCACCAGAGTATTCCTGGGCTCCCACAAGACTCTGTGCAGATGCATTTTCTAGCCATCTTCCAGTCTCACCACTTATTTAACAGGACTCAAAGCTGATGAGACACTCTGGATCAGAGCCTGTACCTGAGGCTGTGCGGACTTTCCTCAGCCAGCTTTGGCACTGGGCCTCTTGCTTTCCAGTTCAGATGACCCCAACCATTCTGCAAAGACCCCTCTGATAAGTCCATCTTTAGGAGAACACACCACATACTTGATGCAGGTATCCCTTGGACCAGCTCTCTGCTAGCTTCTGGACAAAGCAGGGGCACACCCGCTGGGGTATTTCCCTGCATGATATGAGAGCTGTCTTGGCATAAGATAAAGCCAAGGAGGGATTAAAAGGATGGGTCTTGGGCCCAAAGTTAACTCAAGACATGGGTGCCATAAACATCTTCCTGTGTCAGTCATGAACATTGACTCAAGGGCAGAATACAAACCTGCCCCAAACACTCAACACTCTGGCAATCAGGCCTGATGACCACAAATCTCTGTGCACCTCCTGATAAACTAACACTTCTATCTTTTGGTCACCATAAATGTTATAACTAGCCATGTTTTCCTTTTGTGTTTTTCTGGTTAGAACCATAAGAGCTCTCTCACACGTCTTCAATCTTACTGAACATATGGTACTCACTCCACTTGGGCATTATCTTGCTTTTCCCACTCTTATTTTCTTTTCATCCATAGTTTACAAAAACTTGGTGGTGGCTTTGGGGTTTTTTGTTTTTTTGTTATCTTATTATGACATCTTATTATCTCATTCCTACTTTGGACAAACTGGCAGGCTACCGAATGTAGCCTGCCCACACGGCAGAATCTGGCAAACTCCCCGTGGCGTACCCAATATGCCAAATACCAGTAACAATGATGGGTCTCATTCTCCTAACGAGCCTTGAATATAATCTCAGGGCTAGGATGAAGGAGACGTTACTGGGGCCTGCTCGAGGCAATCAACGAATAACAGGATGATTTGTGATTTGTTTTGTGATTGTTTGTTTTTGGTAAAGCATCTCATATCCTGTTTTATCAGTACCAGATAGAAAACAAACCAGAGAAAGGGAGAGAAAAAAAAGATACTACTAACAGATGATGGGCCCAGGGAGTCCCAAGCACAAACCTATTTTTTTTCCTCGTTATCAGTCAGTACTGCCAGTGCCAGGGAACAGGGTACATGTGAAGACAGGTGCCCAATCCTCTAGGATTTTCATCGCTCTTTCCTAAACGTGCAGTCTGGCCCTGGCTTGGTGAACGAACATGTGCTTCATGAGAAGCTCTGGAAGCCTATCAAAACCCTTCTGGGGGGCTGGAACAATAGCACAGTGGGTAGGGCATTTGCCTTGCATGCAGCCGACCTAGGTTCGATTCCCAGCATCCCATATGATCCCCTGAGCACCTCCAGGAGTAATTCCTGAGTGCATGAGCCAGGAGTGACTCCTGCGCATCACTGGGTAATAACCCAAAAAGCAAAAAAAAAAAAAAAAAAGTTTAAAAAAATGGGGCTGGAGCAATAGCACAGCGGGTAGGGTGTTTGCCTTGCACACGGCCGACCCGGGTTCGATTCCCAGCATCCCATATGGTACCCTGAGCACTGCCAGGAGTAACTCCTGAGTGCAGAGCCAGAGCCAGGAGTAACCCCTGTGCATCGCCAGGTGTGACACAAAAAGGAAAACAACAACAACAACAACAAAACCCTTCTGGGGAGCTGGAGCGTAGCACAACGGGTAGGGCATTTCCTTGCACATGGCCGACCCAGGTTCAATCCCCAGCATCCCATATGGTGCCCCAAGCACTGCCAGGAGTAATTCCTGAATGCAGAGCCAGGAGTAACCTCTGAGCATAGCTGAGTGTGATCCAAAAAAGCAAAACAAAACAAAACAAAACAAAAACACAAAATCCCTTCATCTCTATGTCCCAATCCTTTATACAGCTCAAGGGCTTTGCAGGGTAAACAAGCCCCAAGGCTACCAAGAGCCCTAAGGTGTAACCCCTAGAGTTCCACTCCCGCTCCCAGGTCACTTATATTTTCAGCTTGATTGTGGAGGTTCTCTGGGATTAGAGTCTACGCATTTCTGACACTTAAAATTCACCTTCAGTGGCTGGGCCGTAACAACCTGGGACAGGCAATGAGAACCCTTGAGTAGGCAGAGTCAACAAAAGGAAGCCAAAGGTGCCCCCAAATGCTTTGGAAGGGAGGCGGGGCTGCAGCCACACCGAGCAGCTGCCTCCCAGAACATCTGGACACAGACACACCCCTGAAACAACCACAGTTTGCTTTATTAGGTGTTCCATGGTGATATAACACAGCGTTCTGAAGGAATAATAAACACGAGACTTGTTTTTTTTTTTACCATAATTATTTTGCCATTAAGACAGTGGTTACAAAAACAAAAACAAAAACAAAAAAAATCCAAAACCAAAGATACTCTTCTGGCCACACGTATTATCGGCTTTAGCATTGGAAGTTGCTCCACTCATGGGTCACAATCACAATTCCAAGGATTAAAAACCATCTATTATTATCCTACACTGTTTTAGAGCATCAAGTCACTGCAGTTATTCAGTTCTGAGACACTGTCCATTTATTTTAGCATTTACATATGACATTCATTTAACAGACACACAAAGCAAGCCAACAGGTAAACATGCTGACGAAGCCTGCGGAAATCTTCAGGTTTTATGTTGCTTTAAGGAAACATTGAGAAGAACCAAAAATCACCATGAGCTCGTACAGGAAAAACAGGAAGACTCAAGTGAATACTAAAGAGCTGCAAGTGTTTCTTAGAATTGAAACAAAAAAATTTTTTCCGACTTGTTCAAATTTCCTCTAAGTGCAGGTGAGAAAAAAAAAGCAAATATATTAAGTTAACCAATTATTCTTTAAAAGTGCAATTTACTTTTAAAATAACAAATAAACAACAACAACAAAAAAATACACCCCAACTACAACCCCAAAGGCAAAAATGTGGAGAGACAAGTTCAGTGATGATGGAATGACCTACATTTTTGTGTTATGCTTTACAAAAGCAGATTTGGTTTTATAAAAGCCTGCCAACATAACATGAGGAGAGAGCTTAGGAGAACCTGTAAACATGTTTGGAAGGAAACACGACACAGATCAGCAGATGTGGAGACGGGCCCAGAGGCAGCTCATGGAAAAGGGTCACGGAAGAGACAGGAAAGGGAAGCAGAGCCAAGCTCAGTTGTGGCCTTGAAGAGAACCACACGGCTAATATGAATTACGTCCTCCCGACTGCAGTGCTGAAATGATGTCCCACTCAGAATACAGATTTTTCCTCCTGCTCTGTGAAATGGATTTAGGTCAAATTTCCCAATGATTTTCTGAGTTTAGAAGGGCTATCTATATTGCATTAGAGTTTTTTCTTTTTTTTCCTTTTTGGGCCACACCCGGCGATGCACAGGGGTTACCCCTGGCTCATGTGCTCAGGAATTACTCCTGGCAGTGCTCGAGGGACTATATGGAATGCTGGGAATCGAACCCACGTCGGCCGCGTGCAAGGCAAACGCCCTACCCGCTGTGCTATCTCTCCAGCCACTGCAATAGGTTTTGTTTTGTTTTTTTAATAAATAGTTGGAGAAGAAAAATGTTGAGGTGGTCTCCACCTCCCACCTCCAAAGGGAAGCCACAGGATGCCCTGAAATTCCAAAGACTCTTTACACAAAACAATAGGCTTCCAGGCTGGACTCCCACTTACTCAACATTCTGGGCTGGTGGGTGGTTTGAGACTGGTTGATTCACTGGGTTCAGCAGCACAAGTTACAGGTTAAATTCGCTCTGTAGGCACTACCAATGTACAGGGAGAAAGTCCTGACATCCTGTAGTCTGACTTAAGCTTCTCCATATGGTTCCATTCTTGGTCCCACATAGGTTAGTGTGGTAGGTAACTAGGATCCGTTCCCCTCAAGAAACGTGGCATCAGATCCAAGCCTCCTAACAAAGGTTGCATCAGTCTTGGGTGGATAGGGACAGAGTATTACTATATGGTTGCCATGACAAAGCTCACATCCTGCTAGGTAGGTTTTTAGGACCACAGTCAATTGATGGAACTGGTCATTTGCAAAGAAAATGAGGAAAGGAGAAGAAAACAGCATCTCAGAGACACAGGCTAGCAGAAACACAGTGAAAAGAGACAGCTGTGAAAGTATTCTCGATGAGAGAGAGAGAGAGAACAGAAAAGAGGCGAAAAGAGGAGAAGCGAGTCCTCCATAGACTTAATCTGCAGCAAAATCTAGGCCAAAATGAAAATCTGCCCTTTATCTACAGTTGACCTAGAAGAAAGACTACGGAATGACATGTGGACATTTTAAAGCCTCTCAGGAGGATCGGAAATCTGCCGTCAACCTGAATCAGCCTGATGGTTATATGATTGCATCATTAGGATGTCCAGTTCAAACCCTTGTATTAGTATTGAATTAGGCTTCCCAATTTTAGTATTAAAAAAAAACCCTCCCCCTTCCCACCCCGCCTAGCCCTCCCACCCTCATGAACAAAACTTTTCTAAAAAATTTTAAAAAGAAAAAGGCAGCTCTGGGCAATTCACTTTATCTTCCCCAATCCCCCCCCATGAGAAGGAAGATGATTAATTAAGTACAACAGAGGGCAGAGAGAAACACCCTTGTGATTTGCTTGGTCTATATGTCTGAATGTTTGATGCGGTTCCGTGATTGGGGTTGGTGGACAGACTCGTGTGTGATATTTGCAGGATGGAGGGAAGTGGGTGAGCAAAATCAGTGACTCTGGGTGAAGGATGGAAGGAAGGGTCCCAGAGGGAGTCCCATGAACTGGCTGCCCCACAGTAACTATCACAGGCTCTTAAAAAAAAAAGGAAGGAAGGAAGAAAGGTAGGAAGGAAGGAAGTCTCAGAATGTCCTCAGCTGTCCTGTCCCACGTCCCCAGTGGACTGCAGGGAACTTTAGCCCAGACTGGTGATGTTGGCACGTCCACCAGGGGGAGCCACGATACGCTGGGTGGTGCGGCGGGGAATGTTGTCATCAATCTGAGCGCCTGCAGAGAACAGAAGGTGAGGGTCAAAAGTGAGTTACGAGGGTTCCTGCTGCAAACTAAAATAACACTCCTGGGGGAGAACAGGCCAGGCCCAGGGGCCTCCAGTGGACAAAGATTCAGACCATAAAAGCAGTCTTTGCTGAGGAGAGTTGGAGCCACTCCTTGTAAGTCAAACTATTTATAAAGTAACACGCTGTGCGTTCCAGCTTGATCTCAGGGTCCCAGTGGGTGAGGTGTCTCCGAAGACTCGGTCCTCTCTATGCTTTCTCCCAGCCCCGTCCCTCCAACCTCACTCCAGAGACAGGATGATGGTTCTTTATATGTAAGCAGCCTGGTGGGAAATGGCAGCATATACACTCCCATGTTCACTTTTAAGCTTTTCTAAAACTATGAGTGACCTATAAGTGACATGTATGGTAATTTTTTAAAAATGAGTGTACCTGACAAGAAAAACAAAATCTAGCTGAACAACTGTTTCTTTAACAACCATGAAACTGTGGCTATGTATCTGGGTCAGAGGGCTTAGAAGAGTGGAAAGAAGAATTCTAAAGATTTGTTTGTTTGTTTTTGGACCATATCCAGCAATGCTCACATGTTACTCCTGGATCTGCACTCAGGAATTATTCCTGGTGGTGCTCAGGGTAACCTATGTGATGCTGGGATAGAACTTGGATCAGCCGTGTGCAAAGCAAATGCCCTACTCACTATTGTTACAGCCCATGGAAGAGAGAATTTTGGAAAGGGCCCAAGTGAAGGACTGATAGTTTCAAGGAAGAAAGACTAACTCTGGATTCTCTCTTCATCTGTCATGACTCTCATGCTTTATCCAAGCAAATAACACGGTTTGAGCACTTTACATGCATATTACCCCATAGAACCCTCACAACTGCCTCATGATCAGCTATAACTATTACTAAAGCCAGTTTCTAGGGACTCGAACGATAGTACAGAGGGTATTGTGGTTGCCTTGCACACGGCTGACCTGGGCTTGATTCCCAGCATCCCATATGGTGCCCCGAGCACCGCCAGGAGTAATTCCTGAGTTCAGAGGGAGGAGTAACCCCTGCGCATGACCAGGTGTGACCCCAAAAAATCAAAAAAATAAAATAATTATGCCAGTTTCTAGAGAAGGGGATGGTGGCAGTTAGTATGTAGGCTATGTGGCTAAGTGACTGAAATGCCACATGCAGAACTTCTACAGTAGTCTACAGGGAGACACTAAACATAGTACTTTGGTAAGATGTCATCTTATTATATTGGGGATGACACGGAGTGTAAGCAACGTGGCATTACATGTGGTAAAGCATGATGTGAAGATTCTAAAAAAAGACAGCTGACCGTTAGCCGAGTATGCTCTCTGCTGATGTCAGTATTCCCAGGGAAGATTGAGCCTGTCCTTCATCTCTACTTTTGCTCTTTTGACAACACTGATTCAAGACCCTCCTATGTACTGAGTGTGGCCCAAAGAGCTGCCCAGTAGCCAACGTATAGCCATACCAGACAAGCTGAATCCCGACTGGTGCAGGTTCCGGACAGGGGGTGCCTGCTGCTTGGCAGGAGATGTCTTGGCCGAGGAGGCAGGAGTGACAGTCTTCGGGGTCACAGATACCTCACACACAGGTCCATCATATAGACCACGAGGCACCCCTCTTAGCTCTGCCAGCTGCAAAACACAAAAGCCCGTCAGCCCAGATGACAGTCACAGAGGAAAACATCTTCCCTGGAGACCCTTCTGGGGGAAGGGGCCGAGGTCATGGCCAGCCTGTGAGGCACAGGAGGGAGAGCTCCCTTTACAAACTAGTTCAAAAACAGGACAGATGCCGGTGTGACACTAAAGCTCCCTGTTGTGGGTCATGGGGGCAGATCAAACTAATATTTCTTAACTTCTTGTCCTCAAAGCACTTCAACTTAAACATGATAGGGATCCCCTAGCATGCTATCATTTTATATTCAAAATCTAGCTCCCTGCTTACAAATTTCCTCCTCTTTTAATTCCCTTGACATCTCTCCTCTACACTTGATCTTAGCCAAAAACAGTAACAAGTCTCACAATGGAGACGTTACTGATACCCGCTTGAGCAAATCAATGAACATTGGGGACGACAGTACTAAGGTGCAGTGCTACAGCTCTCCTCATTCCCTATGCCTAAGTGTCCAAGTATCAGTATTGTGGACCATTCACTGTGCTCTAAAGATGAGGTATTTTCCATCCTCATGCCTAATTGCCTCCCTTCTTTATTAGACTCCTACATATTCTCAAAACCCTACTCAAAAAGCCCTCTACCTAAAATACTCGTCTCCCTGGGTCCACAGCAGTAGCTCCCTTCTCTAGCCCCGAACTCCCCGCCCACTCACTTACCCCCAGCACATGCCAGAGCTTCACTTTATTCTGGCTGGACACAAGCTGACCCTCCTGCCAGTATCCTGAATTTCAACATTACAAGACTATACTCCCTCCGCCTCTCTCCCTGAATCCCTCCAAATTTATCTGAATATTCTGACCCAAATTGCTTGTTTATGGAAGTGGACGTAATCCAGGAAAAAAAAATAAATTTCTTTAGGTCAAAACTACTCACCCGGCTCCTTGCCTTGATCCGCTTGTACACAAAGTCAGGGAAGGGCTTTCGGGGGATGTAGCGCCCAGAGCCCTCGGTGACATGCAGGGTGCCGTCCTCCAGGACAATCTTCCCCTGGCTGATGACCACCAGGGGTGAGCCGCGGCACTCCATGCCTTCAAAGATGTTGTACTCGAGTGCCTAGAAGAGGGAGCAAGTGTCGGAGAAGGCCCTGCTGTCCCCAGGCCAGTCCACCAAGCCCCACTCCCATGGGGACAGAATCACAGCCCAAGCCAACAGCTGGAGCACACACTTGACATCCCTGTCAAGAACATGCATGAGGCTGGAGTGACAGTGTAGCAAGAAGGGCATTTGCCTTGCACGTGGCTGTCCCGGGTTCGATCCCCGGCATCCTATATGGACCCCTGTGCAATGCCAGGAGTAATTCCTGAGTGCAGAGTCAGGAGAAACCCTGAGTACCACCAGGTGTGACCAAAAAGCCAAAAAGAAAAAAAGAATATGGGTCAATCTTTTCTTGTCTCTTCTGAATTTGGAGGAAAGAGGATTACTGACTGAACAGAAAAACAAATCATATAGGAAAGTCTATGACTTTGTAGATGGTGTGCAAAAGTGCAGAAAATGATTCCTCATGAGTTGCGATTTTGCTCGTGTGAGTGGCAAGATCCAAAGACCTCCTTTGTCCAACTTCAAAACTTAGTCTTGAAATGGTAGTAGTTTTACCTTTGGCTGCCTAGTGTTCCCGTACGCAAGTAATGTGGTGAAACAGACATCCCTAAATAAAAGGACTGTGGCCATTTGAGACACAAGCCTATGATATAATGTTTGAGGTTTCATTCATTTCCTAATAATAGGTCACTCTTTCACCCCAGTACTTGGGGTGAAAGAGTGACCTATTTTTGTGCCCTCTTGGAAAACACGGGGAGTTTCCACATGCGTGTAAATGGTCATGGAACAAGGCAACTGAGAACAGAGACAATGAAAACTCCACATGTCCCACCCCATTCCACAGCTTCGATTCACCCAGCACTGTGGCCCGGATTTGGGAAATCTTCTGCTCACTCCCCAAGCCCCCTCTACTCTCCTGCTACCTCCTGCTCTGTTCAGAGCCAACAAGGCTGGGGCTGAGTCCAGGGTTACAGGAGGTTACAGGCAGCTCGAAGCAAGCAAAGCTGCTTGGGCTTCTGGGGAACTCAATCCAGGTTCTCTGCATCCCAAAGGCGTGAGTCTCAAATCACAAAGCTGTGCCTCGATCTTTGTGGTATTAGGGTAATACTTCCGCTGGAGTTCGTGAATGTGGAGAAGCAGCCAGGCTGGCTTACAGCTCACAGCTGGTGTCTAAATGCAGCAGCGTTGACTGAAAACAGCTCTGAGGAGCTGTCAGCGCTGCTCTCAGACTAAAAGGTGTAACATGGAAGGAAGCTGCTGCCAGAATGAGGCAGAGAGGTACGTGGGTCTAAAGCGGACTTTATACCTGGGTTTCTGGGCCCCAAGCTACATACAACTGTCTTTTTCTCAAGTCTGAGATACACATATGCCCGGAAATCAGAATGTGCCAACAGATGGAACTATGGCACTGCCACCAACCTAGACTGAATGGGGTTCTTTGAGGGGGGTGCAGGGGTGCTTTCTCCAATGGCCCCCATGAAATACTGTCCAGAGAACACCGAACATTCAATTCTCAGCTGGAGGTTTCTTTGGACCCTGTTGGAGCAAGAACTCAGACTACAGTCTTTCTGTATGAAAGAGCAACTTTCATTCCTCTCGGCACCAATGCCAGCATTGAGGGTCACAGGGTTTACCTCTGATTTACTTCAGCATTGGTGGCACAAGGGCTTCTATAGGAGTCTTCAGACTCACTCCTCATCTTGGATATTTTTTCTTTCAAACACAAATTGAATAATGATGATTGACATATACGTCAGTGGGATTTGATGAATGTATCGAACTCCATAATTCGGCCAAATTGATATTTCAATCAAATTGAGTGTATCAAACATATATTAAATTGTATATGGAAGGGTGTAAATTCTATATAGTGGGGTATAAACAAATTATACTGATCATAATTCAATCAAATTTGATACAGACATCAATGGAATTTCTTAGCCATTGACATCAGAGAAGAGATTTTGTGAAATCCAAGTGTTAATGAGTGAGCGGCTAAGCAGATCACTTGGACTGTCTCAGAACACCAGTTTCTTCTCCCCACATCTTAGTAAAGAGGGCAACATGGCACCAAAGTGCTCAGATCTCCATGACAGAATCCTATCAGCTCTGACATGACCTTTGAAAGGGTGTGCATTATGGTACCCGAGCTGGAACAAGCTTCAGTTCATCTAGGGAACTCTGCAGTCAACTGTCTACACCCCAACTTAGTCTTTCTTGGATATCAGTGTGCAAGTAAGCCCTCTACCCTGTGTTCACACCACCACTGCCATCCACTGGCTGGGTAACGCTGAAGATGTCTCTGTACCCACCTTCCAAACCTCAAAATCTCACCCACTTTGCATGACCAATGCCAAGATCAAAGAAAATGGGGACTAGGAAGACAGTACAGTGGTAGGGTGCTTGCCTTTTAGATGTGGCCCACAAAAAAAGAAAAGAAAAGCACCTTGCACACTACTTCACAGACTAGACCCTTAGAAAATACATGATTATTTACTTTTTCAATCATTTACTTTTCAATAGAACATTCCCAACAGGCTTTGAAGCCTTTTGCAGTCAAAGACATGAGAAAATCTATCCATTGCATCTCGTTGCCTGTAGATACCAGAGGAGCTTGGGGTCACGTCCTGATTTGGAAAAACAGATGAACCAGCTCAGGACTCCAACGGACAGGTCCCATTGCAGCATCACAACCCAAGGTGTTCGGCACCTCAACTGACCATGAGCAACAGACGCTTCACCCCTCTCTGGGTAAAGGCACTTTAACCTATATGCACACGTGCTCCCTAAAATGACTCATCTGGCAGGATGCCTGGAAAGCCCAAGCAGAGGCTGAGCAACAGAGCTGTCAATAATGGTTAGCTAAATGCTCCAAATTAAAGCTAATTAGCCTGCTGGATTACACAAGGAAAGCCTCCTATTTGTCTTCTTGGGAGGATGCATGCGGCATGGATGTGTTTAGTGGGGCCTCTTTCAAACAGGTCAGGGTGGAAAAGAGGTACACAGTGTGCATTTGTCACAGGGGATTTCCGGCAGCCAAGGATGGGCAGTGCCACTGCTCTGAGGAGGTTTGGATGGGCAGCATCTGTCCCCCTGAATCTTCTTTCTTCCTTCTCTTGGTTTAAGAACTCCAAATGCTAAGAGTGGGTAAAGGGATATTCTTGATAACCTTTCAGTATCAATATTGCAAACCACAATGCCCAAAAGGAGAGAGACAGACAGACCAACAGACAGAGACTGAGAGAAAAAAAAGTGCCCATCATAGAGGCAGGCAGGGGTTGGGGGTTGACAGGAGGGAGCCTGGGGACACTGATGCTGGAATTTGAAATGAACACTGGTGTAGGGGTGGGTGTTGGAATACTGTATGACTGAAATCTATTCCTGAAAGGCTTTGTAAGGGTCTATCTCACAGTAATTCAATAAACAAGTTTTTTTATTTTTTTTCTTTTTGGGTCACACCCAGTGATTCTCAGGGGTTACTCCTGGCTCTGCACTCAGGAATCACTCCTGGCAGTGCTCGGGGGACCATATGGGATGATGGGAATCGAACTCAGGTTGGTTGTGTGCAAGGCAAATGCCCTATCGCTGTGCTATTGCTCCAGTCAATAAAAACGATTTTTAAAAAAGGTAAATAATAATTAATAATAATAATAATAATAAAGAACTCCAAATATAAGTTCTCTGGCGAGGCCGTCGGCAGCTTACCCGGTGAGTCCAGCTTGTCCTAGTATTTGGGGGAAGGACTCTGCTAGGGAAGGACAGCACTGTCCCCCTTGCCCCCTGACCGAGGGGTTGCACACACAGTCTGGCAGAGAAAAACCCGGGCAATGTTGGGTTCTAATTCTGGCTCCACCGCAAAATAGCTATGTAACATTAGACTGGTCGCTCGGCTCGCTAAGCCTCCAGTTCATTTATCTTCCCAACTGGGATAATAACAGCATCCCGCTATTGAGAAGAGCAAATGAAAGAGCAAATGGGAATGTGATGCTAAGTGCGGGTGACGAGGTGGGTCAACTGGGTACCCCACCCCCGAAGGAGCCATTCTGGACCCCTAAATGTTATAGCCCAAGTTCCCCATGGGTGTGGCCAGAGAACTGAGCTGGTGAGTGGGTGAGGGTGCGGTGAGGAGGAGGGAAAATGTCCACTGCACACTCTGAGAGTTGGGCAGCCTTTCCAAAAGGGACTCAACATACCGGCATCCATTGGTGCCAGCAGTAGTAGTGAGAAGTGTGCAAAGTTGAGAGAAAACTGGGGTCTGGGGACTGGCTCAGGGTTCTCCAGAAGTGCCGTGACAACTGGGGATAGCACCAGTTCTTGGTGGTTCAAGATCTCTGGAGTGGGCATTCTGGCATCAAAACCTCTACTGAGTCAGCCTTCAGTTTAGAATTTCCTCTAAAATATTCTCATCAAGAATTTACTTGAAGACTCATGTGTGTTTCGGTCAGAAAATAATTCTATCCCATGTTTACATTTTTCCAAGGTTTCCCCCTTGCCCATGTTTTTCCAATTATGTTTTATATATAAACATACATGTCTACATTCATAAAAATGGTTTCTATCGAAAACCAATCGCATCTGTCACTTTTGCTGAACATCCATAGACTTTAGAATCTTGGAGACCTCCTTCCTCTGAGCCTACCTGAAGCCTGAGAGGTAGCATGAAGTCATTTGCCATGGTACCATTCCCAAGGCAGGGTATCCCCCTACGTTCTGCACTTTCAGGCCAAGAAATAAGAGACACCAAATCTGCAGGTCCTAAGATCACAATGGCCGTCTAGGAGATTTTTTTTCTATTTGGGAAAGGTCAAAGTTAATCAATTCCTTCGGGTCAGTAAGAAAAAGTGTCATTCACATTTCCATGAGAAAACAGTAGCTTAAGAGATCAATAGTACCCCACTGGGCATGGGCTTTTGAATATTTTATTTAAAAGATCCCTTGTTCCAAGTGCTGCCAAAATACTGGAAAGGTGCTGTATGAATGATAGCATGAAATGTCATTTTGGCTTCAAGAAGTTCTTGAAGCCTTTACCATCCTGGGATGAGTTGAAAACTTTGGAGTTTCTACAGACTCCCAAGATAGAAGGTGATCTCTAGTCACTGAAAGACTGTCACATTCCATAAGTCACAGTCTTGTGACTTGACTAAAGAAAAGGAAATAGCTACTTATTTCTCAGTTAAATGCAAGTCACACTATAACCTAGGGAAAAAGTTCATTCCTAACACAGCAAGTCTTTTTTTTTTTCTTTTTGGTTTTTTGGCTTTTGGGGTCATACCCAGCGAGGCACGGGGGTTACTCCTGGCTTTGCACTCAGGAATTACTCCTGTCAGTGCTCAGGGGACCATAGGAGATGCTGGAAATTGAGCCCTGGTTCGCCCCGCATGCCGTACCCACTGTGCAATATCGTTCCAGCCCCACAGCAAGTCTTTTCATAAATCTCGTGACTCTCCCTGGCTCTCCCTTCCCGTAAGTGGAATTCATGTGGTTGGTCGCGCATGGTTCCTTACGCTGTTGTGGGTCTTGGCAGAGATGGTTTTAACGCTGTCAGGGTCCCAGATGACCAGGTCAGCATCAGATCCCACAGCAATGCGTCCCTTCCTGGGGTAAAGGTTGAAGACTTTGGCTGCGTTGGTACTAGTCACAGCCACAAACTGGTTCTCATCCATCTTCCCAGTGACCTGAAGAATAAGACACACACCAAAAGTGGGTTAAAAGATGAAAAGTGGAGGGGCTATAGTGATAGTGCAATGGGTAGAGCACTAGCCTTGCACATGACTGACCGGGTTAGATCCACAGTACCCCATACGGTCCCCTGAACCCTTTCAGGAGTGATCCTGAGTACAGAGCCAGGTTTCAGCTCTGAGCACCACTGGGTATGGCCCAAACTGCCCTCCCTACAAAAAAAAAAAATAGTTGAAAAGTGAAATAAAAAGCAAGAGACTTTTGAAGTATATAACTTAGATGGATGCTAAAAGCACAGTGCTAAACACAAAAGAATACTCTCAGGAGGCCCCAAAGTGTGCATTCACTCACAATCCAAAAATAAGTTACAGAAATGGAAAGCAGACAAAGGAAGATTCGGAGATTCCTCCAGAGGTTAAGAGAGGGCACGGCCTTACAGGGACATCAGAAGGGAGTCTTGGCAGTGATAAATCTGTGTCTTGATTGCGAAGGTGGATACATGAATCTCTTTGAGAAAAATAACATGAAACCACACACATTACACATTGCACTGTCATTCTTCTGCTAGTTTTGCTCTGTGTCCTATAATCACCAGACAATGCAGCCATTGGTGAAACTGGGCAAAGGTATAAAGGATCATTGTGCCTCTCTTTGTAACATCTTTGGAATCTATAATTATTTCAAAATGAAAGCTGAATGTTGAAGAAGAGAGTGTGATGTCTCTTCAGGAAAGAGCATTTGGCTTCCCAGGACATTCTTTTAAACAAAGGCCACAGATTTGGGCTTCTAGTTGAGAGAACATGGACGTCTTAGCCTCACATGTGGCTTTACACAGTATATCCAAGTGCCAATCACACTTCCTCATATTCTATTTCCTGTTTCTCTTCTCCCCTCCTACTACCCCACTTCCGTATAAATGCAGGATTTGAGAAAATGAATATATCTCTGAGTTGGGAAATCTGCTCAAGACCATCAGAAAACAAGTCAAAGAAATAAAAAGGTTATTGGGGCCAAAGATAGTACAGCGGGTAAGGCACTTGCCTTGTACCCCATCTGGACCCCGAAGCCCTCCAGGAGTGAGTCCTGAATGCAGAGCGAGAAGTAAGCCCTGAGCATCACTGGGCGTGACCAGCCCTTCCCCTCACTTAAAAATTCAAAACCAAATATGAGCTGGTATTGTGGTTAGAGAGACAGTATAGGGGTCACAGTGCACACCCTGCATGAGACCCACCTTGGTTCAAGCCCGGCACCACCTGGTCCTCCAAGCATTGCCAGGTGTAATCCCAGATGCTCACAAGCATTGCCAAGGTGACCTGGGTACTCCCTTGCCCTCCAGAGTCCTTGCAACTGAACTGCAGGCCAACTTGGCCAGGGGGCCTTATGAGCAGCACTTGGGAGGGCTGCCCTGCCCCCAAACTAAAATATATCAAATTAACTTTTTAAAAATAAAATGAGCAGCTAGTAAAAGTAAATGAAAAGAAATGTTAAGAGATATGAAAAACGATCTACTCTAATAGTAACTGAAGAAATTAAGTATAAGTCAATGAGACACAAATTCACCAAATCAGCAAGACTTGTTCTTGGCGATGACCATATACCAATCTGGGCCTAATGAAACACAGACAGTCCTACACTGCTGCTGGCCTGTAAGGTGGTGCAATCTTCCTGGAAATAACTTTGACTATACATCAGGAGTCTTAAATACCCTTGGATCAAGTCATATAACATCTAGAAAATTTTTCTACAGGCATAATATGTCCCAAGATGTGCCTATAAGGACATTGGTTCAACAGAAAAGTCAAAAATAGCATAAATGTTTACTGATGAGAAATGAGTAGTTTTTCAGCATTAAGACATATAAGTTTCTCAAATATATTTAAATATGGGGAATTTTTATAGGCAGGAGGGAACAGCTAGATCCTAGGAATTGCTCCTCGTGGTACTTGGTAGACCATAAAGTGCCAAAGATCGAATCCCTAGCATCCAGCATGGAAAGCATGTGCTCCAGCCTGCTGAGCTATCTTCCAGCCCCAGTCATGATATATTATTTTTAGAAAACACATGAACAAAAATTTATGCATGATTTGTATGCACATATATGTATGTGTATTTCTGCATAGGCAAAAACTGAAAGGCATTTAAGCCAAAAGCTCATTCTGTGCTTGAAATATGGTATTATGAGCAATTTATTTCCTACCTAACTCTTTTTGGAATAATACTTACATCATAAATATTGAGAATTACATATATAATTCTATTTTCTACATATATATGTGTGTGGAGATATAGTACATATAGTGAAAAGAATTCAGTAGGAAACAGAACACCTCTTCTGTTATTATGTTTTAAAACATTAAAAAAAATTAACGTACTTACTCAGTTTATGTCCAAAGCAGGCCTACTGAAGCCTGAAGTAAACTGAAATGCTAATCCCTGAAGATCAATATTAAGGAACTAAGTTCATATCCAAGAGTAAAACTGAAAAAATTACCATGTTGCTGAGAAAAATTCACTAGACTGGCCCCAAATGACAGATCCGAAAGAATCTTGTTCTATTGTTTTTCTAATGGTCAGAAACATGTATGTAGAAACATGTATGTAGAAGCAAATGACCAGGAAGCAGTGGTTTGGGTTTCAAAACATAAGGAGTACTATCACCCAAGTATCAGCTTCTAGAATTCTCCTGATTGCCGGTTCAAGGCCATCAAAGGCCTAGGACCTCAGAGGAAGGGACAAAGGAAAGCAGAGATCAAAGGAAGAACACGGCTTCTCACCACAGCCTTATCCCAGATGACGGACATCCGTTCCTCAGTGCCATTGGTGCCTTCAGGAATGAGGGTGAAGTTGTCCTTCCCTACAGCCTTCTGGGCAGTATTGAAAGTACAATGGGCACTTCCAGTGACCTGGAGATCTCCACTAGACAGAAAACATAAAACTGGATGTTAACTCATCATCTATGACTTCAAATTGTCCTTCAACCTAGTCTTTTAATGAGCCAGGCCACAGAAAGCTTTTGAATCTTTCCCTCAGGAGACAGATAATTCCGGGAGATTATTACATGATCCAGAGGCACAACTACACAACTGTGCTCTGAATCAACTTGATGAGGTATCAGGTGTGACCAGACACCACAGTGGAATGTTTCTGATACTTTAACGATCTCCTTTGGTTGACTTTCATTCATTTTGACTTTGATCCATATTTTCTACCCCCACAACAGTGCTGGAGGGGTAATTCCATATTCCCTTTAGCAATCCGAGTTGGAAGAACAAGATTGTCGGGTCACAGGCCAGCTTCCAGTCACCCCATATTGTCTCCTGTCAGGGCACCTTGGTCTCAGCAAAGAGCAAAGAGCAAGGACAGAGCATGAGAGTCTTTGGGACTCACCAGGACAGCAAGGAATTCAGAAAGTCCGGAGTGGTCGGGTCAGGGCTGAGGGGCGGAGAGGTGACAAACGCTGCTGCCTTCGCCCAGTTCTTGCTCCAGTAGTGGGACCCATCAGTCCCCAAGCTGGCAGTGATCGGCTCGCCATACACCACAGTCCCTGCCAATCGGAACAACAAGGATGGTACAAATGAGGAAAGAAACCACTGTATTGGGAGTCACTGGCTGTCCCAGGGCATGCCAAGGACCCTCCCTGCCATTCCCTTACGACAAGGTCAGGCTCAGCCTACAGCGAAGGAACTCACACTTAAAGGAGGCCAATATGCTAGAGTGATAGCACAGTGGGTAGGGCATTTGCCTTGCATGTGGCTTACCCAGGTTTGATTCCCAGCATCCCATATGGCCCCCCACGAACTGCCAGGAGTAATTTCTGAGTGCAGAGCCAGGAGTAATCCCTGTGCATTGCTGGGTGTGACCCAAAAAGAAAAAAAAAAGACAAAAAAGGAGGCCAAATACCTGTTCCAACATGGGCTCTGCACCCTAAAGATGCTGCCTCTGACCTGCCTTGATAACTTAGCATTATCCTGAGCTGATGCTGAACAGCCTCAAGGTTTCTGCCTGCTAACCTGTTACTCTCAGCTGTCATGGGTACCTATGATTGCTCCTCAGTTCACATCCCAACAAGTCCCAGTGACACGGAGACTCTTACGTTAGGGTAGTCCTGGGTACCTCAAACTTCCCCCACACTGCTCACCAAACACTCCTTTACTCCCCATGTTCTCCAGCCTCTCTCTCTCTCAGTGTCTGAGAATTGAACAGAGAGAGGAAATTATACATGGCCGTGGTGGTTTGCAGCACTTGGCAGCAAGGACACAGTCATCTAGAGCTGTCCGATCTGGGCAACCCAATCCCTGAGTCAGCAACTGAAGGGTGTTAAGCTCACAAGCCACCAAAAGCCAACTTGGCCAGTGTGAGAAAGATGAGGCTCTAACGAGTTACGCCTCTCAGATTTCGGAGTTTCCGGAAGTCTCCTCTAAATTAATTCACCCTCCAAGAATGCCAGTTCACACATGCTCAACGCCTGTCTTCTGCTCTAGCCATTCAGGTGCAAACCCAAAACACTGAGAATCATGTGTGCGTTGAATGTCAATCCCATAGTGCCTTACATCAGAACTCTACCCTTCCCCCACCAATACCTTCAGCTCATTCCAATAGTCTCCCAACTAGTGTTTGGATTGATTATTGCTCCCTCACCTTTCTTCCCAACTTTCCATTCATCCTCCATGAGTGATCTTCCCAAAACCATGCCATCCCTTGGGGCTGCAGTGATAGCACAGCAGGTAGGGCATTTGCCTTGCACGCGGCCGACCCAGGTTCAATTCCCAGCATCCCATATGGTCCCCCAAGCACCACCAGGTGTGACCCCCCCAAAAAAGTCCCATCCCATTCCCTTGCCTTAAACTCTAAGTAGACCCCCCTCTCCCCAAGGACAGAAACAAACTCCTCAATTATCTAATGCCTCGTCTCAGAGCTGCTCAGCTCTTCCAAATCCATCCAAACTCAACCCCCAAAATGGAGCCGTTCCTTGACCTGAGAACCCCACACTCTAACAGGCACCAGTTTTGACCCCTGGGTTCTCTGCTAGATGCAGACACGCCGCCTGCACATAATCATAAGCCTCGATGCATGTTCAAGTGACTGAAAGCTCGAGTATGTTATTAATTATAGGCCTCAGAGCTGGAATTTGATCTCAGGCCAGTCTTACCACCACTAGGAATTCACTTCGCCTCACCCTCCCCAGGGCTGACCCGCCCCACAGTCCTTGGGCCAAGAGGTCAGTCCCTTTTCTCCAACACAGTGAGCTCAAGGCCAAACACTACCCAGTCAGGAATGCGGCTCCCTTCCTTTGATGGCCTCTCCCCAGCCTTATCTCTTCTAATACACTGCATCACCCTCTTAGCTGCAAATCGCTACTGGCTCTGAGAAGCTGCCCCCTCCGGCCTCAGGAACTGCACAAAAGAGTTGCTGTTGCTGTTGGGTCAGGGAGGGGGAGAAGCCCTGGGAGGCGGCGGCAGGCGGAGCCTCAGAGGAAATCAGTCCAAATCCCCAAGGGAGAGGAGAGCCCAGAATCCAGGGGCAATTGGGTACAGATGGAAGCTCCCCAAGGAAGAAAGGGGTCAATGTTCCCCAAATCACCTGCAAGGTCCCTAGCGGGAGTCCGCAGAGGGAACTGCACAAACCGCTCCCACACATTCCAAAGTGGAAAAGTACCACAAGGAGGAGGCCTGGGTGCTGCCAAGGACACTGATGAAATGCAAATGCGTATGCTCATCCTTCAAATTGCCGGAGTCCAATCCTCTCATCCCATCAGATCTTGGGGTCCCCCTCGCTGTTATCAAACACAGGGTATGATTTGGGCACAGCAATAGGGAAACTTAAGGACCATTGTTGCCCTGAAAGGATCCCGATGTTGACAACAGTAGAAAGTTGAAGAGAGCAGAACAAACTGGAGGAGATTGGCCTGACCATGCTCAGAAGCCCTTTGACAGAATAATGTGCCCTGACTTTCCAAGCACTTGCTCTCACTCATGTGCTCTGAATTCCGTCCCGCCTGAGGAAAGCTGGGTACAAGGAGGGGCTGCTTCTTGGACCCACCCTGAATCCCATCAGGCCGAAGGCTGCTGGCGGTAGTGAAATAGCCAGGGCTATTTCAGGGAGCGGGAACACGGGGTGGAGGGCCAGTGTCCCTGTACACAGGAACAAATGCCTCACCCAGAGAAAATCAGCTTGGCCCTTTGTCTCTGCAGAACCCAGGGCTGGGCTGGAGCACCCACGGCCGTTGCAGACCAGACAAGCCTTCTTAGATCAAGGCTGAGCCGGATTCTAGGCTGGAGCCAAGCAAGGAGGGCAAGCATCTGATGGAGGAGGAGGGTGTTGGCAGCCGCATTCCTGCGTTGCTGTTTCAATTCCAAAGAGTCAGAGGTCAGCCCCCAGGGGCAGGGTAGGAGTTAGAATAGGAGGCTCCAGCGGAAGTGGAGGTCCACATGCCGGCACTTCCTCCCAACACCAAGGCATGGAGGCTCCCCGGGATGCTGCTCCCCACTTTACAGAAAGCCCACATGAGGGAGTAGAGGAGGAACTGCACTCTGGGGCTGAGTCAGTCCCGGACACCATTGAACTGCATGCCAGGAATGATTACCACTAATAATAATAAACCACGAAGCAGGCTTAATTGGCCTTTCTACACTTTTCTAAACACACTGCTGACGCTTTCTTGGCACCGAAATGACCTTCATGATTTTCTTCTCTGGGGAAAGTCTGAGCTAGAGGATGTGACCCTTAGCAGCCTTTGGCAGGCTTGCTGTGGAGGCTGGGAGCTGAAGGGGCCTCGGGGAGGTGTCTGTTCACAACAGGCCGGGGGACCCAAGTGCATTCAGGAGAAATGAAGGAAAAGCTGGAGTTTCGAAAGGTTTGACAGCTCCCCAACTCTGACTGCTAGTCGTTTCCCATTAATGAGAGGCAGGACGACAAATCCAGAGTAGACATTGCAGAAAATCATGTCCGTGCATTTTAAAAACAGTCATAAGGACATAGCGGCATAGTACAAACACCAACTGCCTGCCTGCCTCTCTCTCTCTCTCTTTCACTCTCTCTGCCTCTCTCCCCCTTCTCTCTCTCTCTCTCTCTCTCTCTCTCTCTCTCTCTCACACACACACACACACAGAGTCACTCACACTTTCAAAACTTTCTTCTGCTCTCAGAAAGCCCATTCCAAAAATCAATATTCTGAGCCTCTCCACAGAGAACCTGTTACTAGATTTTGGTGCCAACGGTGCCAAGTAACAGAACCTTAATAGGTTCCTGAAAAAGTTCTTCAACCTGACTTCATTTAAAAGCAGAGAGCAAACTGTCCATGGCAATAGAGATAAACAAAGGACACCACTGGATTCCACCAAATAGTTACCAAATTCCGTGGGCCCGTGTATTGGATTTGATACCGGAAGCAGTTTTATGAAACTAAGTATAAGGGAATTGGCTGTTCCTAATTAGGCTGGACCAAGTAGGGGAAGAAAAGGATCATTTCAGGGATTCAAATTCTCAATTCAAGGAACTCTGTAATTTTTATATCTGCCCTAAAAATAAAACCCTTGTCCCCAGGAACCTCAGAGTGGCTACTTTACAACATCAATTGAATTCTCAGCCTCTAAGAGTATCTGCCATTATTTGGGGGCACTGGCCGGAAAGGAATTCAGCCTCCAGCCCGCCTTCCAATTTGAGCTATAACAGCAACTCTTCCCCGCGCCTCCAGTCGGCCTGCATAGACTCCAGAACTGCCCGTGCCCACAATGGCATGAGCCAGTCCCCAAAGACAGCTCAGCCCTCGCTCCCTCCCACCAATATATGTGTGTGTGGATTTCAGTATTTCTCTGGCAAGCCCTGACGATCCTAGCTCTGGGTGAGGTTTTATGGCACTCCGAAGGCAGCCCATACTCCTGATTCTGCATGCAAGATTTTAAGTGAATAAAATTAGCATGATACTAGGGCTCTGCCCCCAAGCTGGGGTGGTTCTGGGGGGCTCCTGAACATATGTTTCTCATTACGCCCAAGCCACTTCTATTGACCTGTAGGGCACAGGAAGTCTTGTCTCAAATTTGAGTTCCCAGAGTTTAATGTAACCTCAGTAGCCACAACTGTCCTGTTTCTGCATCTGGGTTCTGGTGTGGGGTGGGGAGGATCTGGAAGTGGGGTAAGGACAGTGGCTCCCAAATGAAGTCATCAGTACGGCCCACACGCTACCGCTCTCATATGGAAGGCCTCAGCAGTCAGGCAAGACTTCAGAGAGAGGTCTACCAGTGGGGGTTTGAAGGAGCACGTTCTAGAAAAAGCCCAGTGCTGTAACCCAGGCAGAGAGCGAGAGAGCCAGGAGTCTGGAACCCCGGGCTCCCAGAGGCTGGATGATCTGGAACAAAATATCCCACTGACACATTTCAATTTCTCCAAGATCTGAATTTATATTATATTATTCACATTCCTTCCAGTTATTCACATTTCTTCTAGAGAGTGAAAGTGACGCCATCAGCCCCAGGTATTCTGATCCTGCTGTATCTTCCTCTATTTTCCTGTAGGAGACCGGTGATCCCCCCATCCTGGTAAAAACCA